CTGCTGAACTCAGAAATTTCTGCTTTATCTTAAGACTGGAAGATTTCTCCATTTTACTGATCCCAGAATCACCCATTCTCTTTTCCTCATGTGCAGCTGCTTTCACTGTCAGAACTTCACTGTTTTTGTTTTAGCTCTGCATAGGCCACTTTTCTTGTAGTGGTTATTGGAGGGTCCCAACTCCTTTTACCGATAGAGTACAAGTTCCTTTGGAAAGTAGATAGGGAGCTCTGAACACGTCAGAGAGTGTAAGTGCTGAGTGTGATCCTTCATTTGACTTTCAGTCTCTACTGCACTCACCCCTCAGCTGAGGCATGCCTCAAGGATGACAAAAAATACTCAAAATTACACCTTCCCTAGCGATGCAAGAGAAAAGAGAATTTGCAGACAATAATGACAAGATTGCTACTCTTCAAAGTCAGAGGGAGAGCTCATTTGTTTGTAACTCAAGGACTTGTGGATAAAGATTGTAGAGTATTAGAAGGGTACTGACACAGCTCAAGACTATGTAAGCAGGAAAGATCAGAGTTCATTCTCTAATTTCTGCCTCAAGTAGAATATTTTATACCATCTGTATGGATGGTTTTGTTGCTGAATTGCTTTATACACCTTTAAGAGACTGAAGCTGTATTGCATTTAAAACAATTAATTCTCCTCATGAAGAGCCCTCTGCAGGTATCTCTAGGTTGCCTGAATCTCAGCTCAGCCATCTAACATCATGTCAAGTACCATTTGCAAAGATGTGTTATTTAATTCATGAGGAACAATCACCAGGACCATCAGCGTTGAGGCTCACTTCTACCAGCAAGCCCCGGCCTCTGTGTTATCTCCAGCCTGACCTAGGACAATGGTCTCTTCGCAAAATTACCAGACTGGAGTTGATCATAATGACTGGTGATTAAACTCCTAAGCACCGCTCTCACCTGTTGTGAAATGGAGGTGTCCACAGAAAGCAGGCAGGTTGCTTGCACACCTTATGCTACTTGCCCCCACCAGAGTCTGCAGAAGTGTCTGGCTGCAAGCTCGTGGGACAGCTCCCATCCCCAAAGCATTAGCTGTGCCTGCAGGTGCTACTGAGCACCGTCAGGCAGGCGATGTAACACAGTCAGTAAGGAAAAACATGGTGAAATGAAACGGTGCCATCAGAAGCAGAGGGAGTAATACACAAGAAAAGAAGGAGGGGAGAGTGAAGGGCTGCAATGCCCACCGAACATCATCTAGATAGCCAAAGCACTGTTGCTTCAGAAGAAACTTGTACATGTTTCACTATCAATTACCTCTGAATAATCAGAAACAATATTTTCAGAACAAAGCAGTGCCAAATTCTATAGTGCACTTGGGGAAAAAAGGCCAGGGTAAATGCCTGTCATCTAGATTATCACTTATATCACCCAATGTACTTATGAAAATGATCCCTCATTTGGCTCACAGCAGTAGAAATTTCTCAACAAAGTCATAACTCTCCTGTAATACAGTCTAGGGCCGTTAAGCATTACTCAGATAAAAGCTCCAAGTCTCTCTTGAAACACTGTCCCTGCTCAGGAATTTCCCACAGTCAGAGGGAGGTAGAAGTTGAGAAAAGGGCAGCAAGAGATGAGGGATTATTTCTCCTCAGAGAGAACAAGACTAAGGACGCAGCACATCCCACCCGGTGGCCAAATCATGGCAGGGAGGCAAAGCAACAGGGATTATGGGCTATTGAAAAATGCAGTAGGAAGTTCCACTGCAGCTATCCAATATTCAGAGTGTCTCAACCTTCTCTTTGCAACCTGCTGGAACAAGAGTAAAGATCCGAGTCGGCTGTGCCTCTTACAGCTGTTGGGAATGCTTGTGGAGAGGGCAGGAGATGGCCCTTAGAGATGGCAAAATAGGGCACAAGCCAATTTTTTTTTGAGCAAATTAGCCTTTTTCAACACAAATATAAGAATGAAAAAAGGCAGAACTACAAAAGTAAGAGAAAAGTGCTGTCAGGAAGAGCAGAAGACCACTCAGAAGGCATTGAGCAGCAGGGGATTTGAGACAGAGTCCAGCATCACGTGAGAGGAATGGATGAGGCAGAGAGGAAGGAGAAAAAAGTGCAACCTGGCTAGGAGCTTCCAGAGCTGGCAAGAGCCTATAGAAAGAGGGCTTTGTCACCCAGTGCGTGAAGGAGAGTGGCTCAGGGAAGATTAATGTGCAAGGGAGCTGAATGAAATGTAAGGCCAGAGTAACAGCATCCTCAGAGCAGGGAGCAAGCAGGAAAGCAAAAGCAAATGAGAGGTATCAGCATCAGTTGATTTTACTGAATTGGCTTCCTAGTACAAGAACTATCCGATACCAGCCAAACCCCACCAGTTTCAGGCCACAGGATTGGTCAGATGCTTCAGGACACACGTGCATATATGTTTTTGCTGGGGCATCAGGGAAGGTGAGCACCCAGAGCAGAGCACTACACCCTGTGTCACTTCATTCGCACATGGGAGGTTCAAATGTCAAAAGTTCCCCCACTCCGCTTCCCCTCTTGCATCTAGGATGTGATTCCACGTCCATCACAGGTATGCTTTCCATCTAAATATCTAAACCTTGTGGTCATGATGCTTCAGACAGCAAGTGCACGGGTGCCTGTGCTATGGGGATCGTGCTGGGCACTGCAGAGGTACCTATGGTCTCCAAGCCAGATGAGGTTAAGAATAAAGAGCAAGGAGAAGAAATTCCCTGCTCGGCGCTGAAGCCAGAAGGGGATGCGGGGCTCCCTGGATTAAGAATCATTCTACTGCTTTCCCTCATCCTCTGCTTTGCAATCAGCCTCTTAAAAAGCCCAGAGATCCTGGCAGCCAAACTAGGCTGTGCACTAAGGAAGGGAATCTGAATTTCCCCAGCTGCAGCCTCTAAGGATGCCGCCAGCCTGAGGGTGCAGCTACTGCACCGACATACCGACCTAATGATCTGCACTCTTCAAGGCATCAAATGCTTGAAGAAACTCGCCCTGCTCAGAAGGCCATGCTCGAGCTGTATTTCTGTGCCATCTTTAGTGTGAAGCTGGGACTGACTTTGAGGAGGTCAGAAAGAGCCTGATGGCTCAATAAATAAGAGACTCTTTGGAGAGTTAGCAGAACTGACAGCTCAACAGGATCCATGTTTAGCTGTCAAAACATTCCTCCATGTACAGAGATGCAGCTCAGAAGGCTGTCCACATACCTCCTGGGCTAGAGATGAACTTATCTCCCTAATTGGTCAAGTAGTACTTTGTGGAGAATGGAGCGAATTGAAAGAGGCAGTGGCGTGTGCGATTAGAGCTGAGGAGGCTGAGGACTGTGGCAGGACATAATGTTGCGCCTGGACTCCTTTGATGTATTAATAAGATCACTTTGTCCGTGAAACGTTTTCGTGTCCTGTTCAACCACAACAACAGCAGCAGCCCCCTTCTGTTTTTTAATGATTAAGCAGCTCACAGGTTGACTGAGCAAAGGCTGAAGGGGAAAAACTAAGATATATATATATAATTCTGCTTGTAGAATTTACTTGAAAAGGATAGGCTAGACATTCAGATGGTGCAAGTCAGAGTCGCTCCAGGGAACTCGCTGATTTACACAGCAGTGGAGGATCTAGCTCAGCGTGCCAAAGCAAGCAACGTACTCAGGTGTGCATTGGCTGGTTAGAGGCACTAGCAGAGGCACTATTTGAGTCAACAATGCTGTCCAAGCCTGGCCCAGACTAACTGTAGACCCCTGAGCCCTCAGCTGCACTTGCCTTTCACAGGAATGTACGACATAGGAAGAAAACCAGCTCCCAGGCTGCCAGACCAAGAGTGAACACTGCAGAAAAAGACCCCATTCTCTGGGGATATGGCTGACTGAAACCTGCTTCCTTGCAGGTGACACTCTAGGGCTTACTTAGTTAAAGTCCCTGTCCCCAAATATGGGGCCCCTCTCAGTCTGGCTTTCACAAGCTCCTGCTATCACCGCTCAGCTCAGACTAATGTGTTTTTCAGGGCCTCCTCTCCCCTTGCTCCCATGGAGGATCTGG